CACATCTCCTGGCACTTAGAGGGACTGAACGAATGAATGAGCGAATAACTGAAATAATACCTTTAGCGAAAGTCGCACCTCGTAAATCTATTTCCTCCTTCCTTCAAGGGTCGCCTTCTCATTCCCTCCTTCACTTCCCTCCTGGTTCCCTCTCTACCTCATTCTCTCCCTCCTTTCCTACTCATTACCCTCTCATACATTACCTCACTCACTCATTCTCTCCATCCCTCCTCTTTTACTTACACAGTCATTTCCTCTCTGCTTCCCTCTCTCCCTCACTTAATCTTTCCTTGCCTTCCTCTTCATCCCTTTTCACTCATTCACTTGCTCCCTCTGAGTCCCATAAGTCTAATGTGACTCTGCTGGTTGCCTGCCCTCTGCTGGATGTTAAGGAGAGGAGATAAACAGCCAGCATGAACAGGTATTTTCCTGTTTACTAAAATTCTGGAGTAACTACAATTCCCAGCCCAAAGGCCTGGTCCCAGGAGTCTGCCAGGAGGCTCTTGGCATTTATGTTTCTCCACCATACCTCCAGAAGGATCCCATCCTCCAAGGCTCATCTGTAATGGGTGCATCCAAAAGTTAGAGCCCCAGAGTCTTATGATATAGGGTCAGAGTGTCCTCTGCCATGGATGGTCCGCAGTTAAAAAGAAAAGTGGAGGAAGAGGAGTATAGAAGATAAAATAAATGAAAGAGAAACACTGTCTGGCTGAGCCTAAAGAGCTGCTTGGGGGTCCAGACAAGAGCCAGGAGCAGAGGTTCTCGATGGAAGTGGGCTTCCAGGAAGGCTTTCTGGAGGAGGTGACCCCCCATTTGTGTAACAGAGGACTTTTGGGAAGTGGAAAAAGCATTCCGTGAAAAGGACTGTCAACAAAGGCTTGGAAGAGATCCAGTGAAATAAGTGATCAGGTTTCCAGGAATTTCTAAGCCTGAAGAGAAAGTTTAGGTCAGACCCTGTCCTGGAATGGATGTGGCCCTGAGGGCAGCCTTCAGCCAGGGCAGTCAGCTACCAACATGGGTTGCAGAGCCTGGACTGAAAGTAGGAAGAAGCTGAACAAAAGGGCAGCAGGAGAGTTGTGGCCTCAGGCAGGCAGGGAGTGAGGACTAGGGCAGTGCTGGCTGGAAATCTGGAAAGGAGACAGGTTCCCCAGTACACATGAGTGATGAGTGAGGAGGAGTGAGCTCAAGAGACAGTGGGAGACAGTAGGACTATCCCAATCACAAAGAGGCTGCAGCAAGAGTAGGTTTGGGGGAAGAAAAGGCCCACCTTGGCCCCAGGCAGGCTAAGGAGTCTGCAGATGTCCAACTAACGGCCTTTCTAGGGGAGTCAGGCTAGAGGTGAGGTCATGGGCATATCATGTACTTTAGCTGGAAGTGATGCATCAAACCAGAACAAGAATGAGGAAGAGGAGAGTGGGCTGAGGGTAGAGCAGGAGGCACACTGGTGTTCTAGAGGGCACCCAAAGAGCAAGAACCCACAGAGGGAATGGGAGGAGTAATCTCAAAGGCCCAATGGGGCCTGGTGTGAGAGTGGCCCCAGAGGGGAGAGGATCTGCAACAGGGAGGCTTTTGGTGTGTTCACAGGAGCGCTTTCCTCAGAGTGGCATAAGCTGGTCTACAGTGACAGGTGTGAAAGGAGGTAAGGACAGGAAGACTGAAGGGATGGGCCTGGCCTCTGAGATGAGGACAGATGGGACCACAGCTTGAAGGGAGAGACTGAAGGAGAGCACGTTTGGGGGAGGAGGGAGAAGCTGATAGGAAGTGAGAATAAGCAATGGAGAGGAAACCAGGAGGAGTGATGTGTTGGTCAGGACTGAGGGGAAAAGTCATTCCCCAGTCTTCTCTGAACTAGAGAGAACATCATCTCAAAATATACTCTGAGGAAGTCAGTGGTTCCCCATCTGGAAAGTTCTAGAGGAGAGGAGTAACAAGATAGGTCAAGGTCTCAGAAGCTGCCCTCCCCTGGATGTGTTTGCTTCCTAGGACATCCTCTGTTTCCCGAAGGTACAACCTTTATCTGCTGCTTCATGGCTGTATTACCAGCACCTAGAACAGGGCTGGCACTCAATAAGGTACTAAATAAATATAAATCAAGGGAATTTGAATAGAGAGAAATAAAAAGGCAAAGAGACTGCTTAAAGGACTGGTATAGATAATGGTAGACTTTTGAAGCCTCAACCCAATGGGAGATATCTCAAAGTAAAAGACAAACACACTTGTCAATGAAACATTTTGATCACAGCCATCCCAAACAAAAAACAATTGAGGAAACTTTTGTAACAAAATTGACAGCAAGTGGTAAGTAGTCTTAGTATATAAAAAATTCATTCAAAATAAAAGATATTAAGGTTTCAATAGTAAAATGGAAATCAACATGAACAGATAACACTCAAAAGAGGACAGATAACTTAATACTTGGGAGAATCATCAATATCAGTGAAATTAAAATAAATGCAAATGACAAAATTAGTGAATATATTTGCAACATATACAACAGACAAAAGGTTATTATCCAGAATATATAAGGAACTTGAAAAATCAATAATTAGTCAATCAGCCAAAAAAAATGGTAAAGGGTATTTACTGAAAATTCACAGAAGAGGAAGTCTACGGCCATGCCACCCTGAACATGCTCGAGCCCGTCTGATACTGAAAGCTAAACAGAATTGGGCCTGGTTAGTACTTGGATGGGAGACCACCTAGAAATGCCAGGTGCTGTAGGCGATAAAAAAAAAAAAATCACAAGAGGAAGTCCCAGTGTATGTAAACAAAGGAAGTATAGTTCAATCTCATTAATAATACACGTTTTTATGCAGAAAAAAAAAATTCTGACATTTGTTAAAACAGGATGACTATTCAGGAAGACTATTGCAAGAGGGGTATGTCAATAAGAGAGATTGGGCTCAACTCTGAATACAGCAAAGACAGCTGAGGATTTATAACCAGGAAGCAGACTTGAGGGGGTCAGTGGATATAAAATTACTAAGATGAGACATCAAGGGTAAGGGTATTATTGCTAAACTGGCCTAATGGGATTATTAAAGTTGAGGGTTGAAGAACTTGTTCAGGTATCAAGGGTAGGGGGATTCTCCCTAAACTGACTTAGTAGAATTCTTTGCTAAGACTGGCCTAGGCAACTCAGAGACAGGATAGGGGCCAAAGTTGAGGCCTAGTCAAGAAGAGAGTCTTTGTCAACATTAACATGGCAAAGTATAAAATAAGTTGAGATTAAGCATTGGTTAGTAAGGGTGGGAGTGTACATACATTGCTGATGGGAATATAAATTGAAACAGCCAACTTGGAGCATAGGTTTTAAACTATGTCTGCAAATTCTTTGACTTGCTTACCTTCAAAAGATAAAGCCCAATCTTCCTCCCTTAAATGTGGCCTGGACTTAGTGACTGGCTTCTAAGAAATAGAATGAGGCAGAAGTAAAAGCATGTGATTTTCAAGGCCACATCATAAAAGGCATTATAGCTTCTGTCTTGCCCAGTGTGCAGAGAGTGAGCCACCGTTTCATGAAAACACTCAAGCAGTGCCAAGCAGAGGTCTCCATGGAACTGAGACCTCTGTCAAAACCAACACCAACTGTCAGCCAGGAGCAGACTGCCTTGGCAGATCCTCCAGCCCCAGTTAGGTCTTTCAGAGGACTATACTCCTCTGAAGTCCAACATCTGCCTGGAACTTCAAGAGAGGCTGAGTCAGAACCTGGCTAGACAGCTCCTAAATTCTTGACTCACAGAAATTGTGAAAGATAATATATGTTTATTACTGTCAGTTTCGTTTTCTGTGGTTTCAGTTACCCATGGTCAGTCATAGTCCAAACATAATAAATGAAAAATTCTAGAAATAAACAACTTATAAGTTTTAAATTGTGCACCATTCTGAGTATCAGGTTAAAATCTCACACCTTCCAGCTCCTTCCCACCCAGGAAGTGAATCCCTTTGTTCAGCATCTCCACACTGTAGGTGGTACCTGCTCATTAGTCACTCAATAGCCATCTTGGTGATCAGGTCAACTGTGGTGGTATTGCAGTGCTTGTTTTCAAGTAACCCTTATTTTATTTAATGATGGCCTCAAAGCCATACACAGAACTTTTATTACAGCATATTGTTATGGCAATTCTATTTTATTATTAGTTATTTTGTTATCTCTTACTGTGCCTAATTTATAAATTAAACTTTATTATAGGTATGTGTGTATAGGAAAAAAAACATACTCGCCAACTATAATTTTAAAAAGCCCATAGTGTTACTGAACCAAAATCTGTGTGCCTAACATTTCAAAAGGCTAAACTCAAAATGTCAGAGTTTGGGTTAAGGTCAGATTTATTGATCAAGATGGCACCAACCAAGAAGATGGGAGACCTAGTGGTGTCACAGATCCATCTTAAGAAAGTACAGAGTTCAGGCTTCTTATAGTCAAAGAAAGAGGAAATGGGAGGGGCAAGAGGTGATTGATAACTCCATCTGGGTGTCAGCAGGGATCTAAGGAACATTGTGCTTAGTCTGTTGACCCTAGTAGATGTGAGTTTGGTCAAGAGGTTCCTGCAAATCTTTGATAAACAATCATTATTTTTGTGCATACTTCCCTTACCTATTTGGGAGAGGCACTTTCTGGTAAGGGGCTGGTTTTGTAAAACTCAAGCCTCAAGCAGAATTCCTCTAATGATTAGCAGGTCTGTATGCAAGACTAAGCAGAAACTATTAGCCCGAAGGTCATAAGAACAAAGCAGGCTTGAACAAGATGGAGTCAGAGAGGCATAGAATTTCACTGGGTTACAATAGTATACATAGGGTTCAGTATTATCCTTGGTTTGGTTTCAGGAAGCCACAGATAAGGAGGACTACTGTAATTTGTTACGCAACAGCATTAAATAACCAATACCTAGAAAAATTGGCAATAGCTATTAACATTTAGATAAAATATAAAGTGGCTCTCTGCAAACTAACAATTCCACTCTGGATATCTATATTGAAGAAATACTCTTGAGACGGAATCAAGACAGCACAGCAGAGGATATTTATTGCAGCATATTTTCAATTGTGAAAAAGTGGAACCAAAGTGAATATCCATTAATAAACTACAGTGCCTTTGTACTGTGGAATGACCTGCAGCGGGTGATCTAGGAGCTATGATGTAGCAATAATTCATTAATTGACAAGGACAAGTTGTGGAGAGATACACATTATATCATTTATGCAAGACACAACCAGCACTTTGAGGACTGAAGCCAGCCACAGCCTTCAGCTCACTGTCTCCATCAAGATGACTACTTATGATGCCACACTGTCCAAATAGGACTTTATTTGAGAAGATAAAGTTGCAAACAACTGTGCTGTTTCCTTCAGGAATTTCCTGAGAATCCATTTATCTGAACAATAGGCTACTCAACTATTCACCATCAGAGGGAATAGTCCCATCTCACAACAACAGAGAGCTCAATTGAGCATCTTTAAGGCCGATTTATTCTTCAGGGCTGCTTCCAACCCATCAGCCAGCAGTGTCCATCACTCCAGAACTATTCTATCAGGAGCTCTGCCCAGTATACTCAGGGTCCAACACTGAAAGACCTGCCCCCGACACCTTAGAAACATTCTGCTTTTGACCTCCACCTCCTCCTGCAGAATTCCATTCTCACACACACAAAATCAAAAGTAATTTCTTAATATCAGATAGTCAAGTGATCACATTTCCAAATTATTCTCTACATGTTCTTCTTTGTTGCTTTTTGAAGTTTACTTGAATCAAGATCCAAACGACGATCTTGCATTGCAGGCAGTTGAGTTGCCTCTAAAATCTCTTTTAATCTTTGGGCTTCCCCTCCATCTTGTATTTTTCTTCTTGTTGAAAAAATTGGGTCCTTTGTCTTGTAGCTTCCCCCAGACTAAATTTCACAATGTGACATATACAGGAAGGACATGGCTGTTGGGCCAAATAAGTAAGCCCTGGTCTAAAAATTAATAAATGTAGTTTAGATTCCTCACATCCCCCTACAAAATACGGCCAAAGCAACGATGAAAGTCTATCTGGTCACTATTTTTATGTGGCGTTCAAAGGTAGTTGCAGGAAAGCAGGACCCAAATGATGTGGGCACAATGCCTAGCACACGGTAGGTGCTCATAAATATTTGATAAATAAACAATCTCTTCATAGCATCTGCTTAGATACCTGGCAGTTTGGTGTGGCATTCCCAGGGGTGAGGATCTCCTGCATTTGGTGAGGCCAGCACACAGTAGGGTCGCAGGAAATGCAGACAGCTAGGCGCAGGCCAGCTGTAGGCAGCACTGGTTGTGCTATGCAGCCAAGACTGCCCGCGCCCTCTCTCGTTAACTCAGGGTATCTAGTGTCACCGCCTCGAGCGACAGCAGTGCCAGAGAAATGCGAGAGGTTTGGGGGACCCTGAGGGAGCCAAAGATACCCCGTGCACCCAGAGGAACTCCATTTCCCACAGGCCCGCGCGCGCGACTCCATTTCCCACAATTCTTACTCCGCTTCCGGCGCGGCCGACGCGCCGTGGACGGTTTCCGGGTTTGGGCCTGGCGCTGGGCTTGAGGCGGCGGCGGCGGCGGCGGCGGAGGCGGCGGCGGCGGAGTGGAACACAGGAGGTGGAAGCTGGGGGACCGGCATGGACGTTTCGGGGCAGGAGACCGATTGGCGGAGCGCCGCCTTCAGGCAGAAGTTGGTCAGTCAAATGTGAGTAGAGGCCGGGGCAGCGGGCGAGATCACCGGACTCCCCCCGCCCCCCTGCGCTCAGCCCCCCTCGCGCGGCGGGCGAGGCCCGCGGGGGGCACCTAGAGACCTAGGGTGCCGGGACTCGCGGGGGCTCGAGGGCCCCGGGAGGCCGAAGCCGTCGGGGACCTGCGCGGCCCTCCCCCGGCTGTCCCCTTAATTCTCGGCCGACATGGACTGCTTGTTAGCTTTTCTGGGGCCGAACCCTGCAAACCACCGAGCCTTGGCTTATGAGTCATCATCTTGAGCTTTCTCATTCGTCATTTGTGTGCTTTGATTGCAGACTTTTCCCTGCTTTGAATCACACTGAATACGAAAGAAGGAAAGGGGCAGCCGGTAGTGACTTTAGCAGGTCTGGGTGCTTTGTGATTTCTCTTCCAGAAAAGCGCATCAGGGTGAGAGAAAGGTTGGAAGAGGGTGGATGGAAGATGAGGTTGGGAGGCTAGGTACTAGGGCTGTGGGCGGTGGAGACCGAGGATTTATGGGTGTTGAGCCCCCTCCCCGCCCCCAGTGTGGATTTTGCCTGAGGGTGGCAGGAAGAGGCTGTCAGGAAGCCAGCGCATATTGGGAGGAGGGAGTGAAGAGCTGGGATTAGTGTCTCCTCTCCTCAGTCGCAGTTGTTGAACCCCTCAATGCAGGAGCTGCTAGTGCACCCTAGGCTTCGCCTAGCGGAACTCCAGCTCCTCATTGAATGCTTGCTTCATTTAGCAGTCTTTTACTGAACTTACTGGCATGTCGTGCTAGCCAGATTTGCCTGAGACAGCCCCTGCCTTCAGGTAACACACTAATGTAAAAGCACAGTTCCAGGGCAGTCTTTCTCCTAGAGGAAGAATTGACAGTTTGCTTGAGCAGGCTTGTGGAGTAGGTGAATAAACTGAGTCCTAAGAAGGCAGGTAGTGTGAAGGGCCATCATTCCAAGCTAAGGAGTGGGGAGGTATGTGCTATCACTGCATGGAGGATATTGCTGTAGGCTGAGAGTTCTGGGGTTTGAGGAATTAGGAGGTTCAGGAAATGATAATGGAATGAGGGTGAGCAGGTGCTGACACGTTAGTGCTGTGCTAAGGAGTTGAGCCTGTATTTGGCATATGTCCTGCTTTGAGGTTGGTGCAATGCCAGAGTTGGAAAGATCCCCTCAGTCCCTGGAGACAGATCAAGAACAGAAGAGAGAGACCAGTTAAGCCATTATGAGAGTTTTGAGCTCTTGGGGTCTGGGGACTTGTCATTTTTCATCCCTGTATTCCCACTGTTAGATTGCTGTCTGTCACCTTGCTCCATAAAATGCTTGTGGAATGACTTAGTCAGGCAAGAGATTTTAAAGGTCTGCATTAGACAGTGGTGAAAACTGAAAGAGGAAGACAATTCCAGAGAAAGGGGAGAGTGAGCATAGACAATGGTCCTTGATGACTAACTGGTTGGAGGGGGTGGGGTGCAGCAGGGTGGAAGGAAGGAAGTTGGGTGGAATGCTGGGAAACCTCTTAGTACAGTGGAAGGAATGGGGACTATAGAGTTAGTGGTTCTGGGCACTGCTGTGGAATAGTCTGGGGACGAATCTGCAGAAATTGCAGAATCAGTGAACGTTGTTTTTTTTTTTTTGGATGCACTGGATTTGTCTGTAGATAAAATCTTGAGGGATGGCCCACTTCAGGGCTCCAGCAAGAAACCACCCCAAGGGAAGGATTCCTCTTTGGGGAAGCCCAGAATTTAAGAACTGGAAGAATGAGTCGCAAAAAAAGAAAATGGGGTGGGTGGGGGCGTGTCTGAGGGCTGGGAGGGTGATTGGAGAGTGTTTGGATGTCGGGACCGACTGAATACCTCATAATTCAGCTTTCTTCCACTTCTAGGGAAACTAGGTTCCTTTTTTTTTTTCTTTTTTCTCTTTTTTTGTCAAATTGCTGCTTGTATATTGGTTTTCTATTGCCGTCATAACAAATGCTACAAACATAGCATCTGAAAACAACATAAATTTATTATCTGACAGTTTCTGTAAATCAGAGGTCTAGGTAAACTCACCTATCTTCTGCTTAGGATCTTATAGGGCTGAAATCAAGATGTTGGCAGGGGTACATTTTTTACTGGAGACTCTGGAGCACAATTGCTTTCAAGCTCATTCAAATTGTTGGCTAAATTCAGTTTATGCAGTTGTAGGACTGAGGTGTCTTCATTCCTTAACTGGCTGTTTTGTTAGCCAGGGGTCAGTCTTTGTTCCTAGAGGCTGCCCACATTCCTTCGCATACTTTCTTTGTAGCCCCCTCCAGCAAGGGAGGGTGGGGTTCTGCTGCATCTCTCTGATTTCAGCCAGAGAAAATTCTCTACTGAAGTAGAAAATTCTCAGATTGGGCCCACCCTGATAACCCAGGATAATGTCCCTATTTTGAAGTCTGTAACTTTACTTACATCTGGGAAAGTCCCTTCTGCCATATAACGTAGCTTATTCACAGGTTCCCAGGATTAGGCATGGACATCTTTGGGGATTCCTGCCTACCACTGTTGGCGTGAGCAGTTTCGGAGGCTGTCTTCCTAACATGATGTGGGTGTTTTCCTTCTCAGATTTGTCTGTTTTCTTTCCAAGGATCACTTTGAAAGTTGTGATTCTTGTTGCCTTGATTTATTTTGTTCATGGGTTAAAAAGGAGAATTTGGGTTAGGATACCTGACATATTGTTAATTCTAATTTTCTTTGGTGTTATACTCTTGTTTAAAAGGCTATCTTGGGAATTGTTTTGAGCCCAAGTAATTTATAGTTGAGTGATGGAATAAAGAAAGCATAACAAAGAACTGGAAAGTTGCAATGGAAGAGAAAGCATCTGAGCTGATTCACTGTCTCTGCCTAGCTCAGTGTTTCAGAGCACGGGCTGAATAAACTAGTCTCCCAGTTCCCACTGAGAAAAAACAGTTTTGAGTTGGGACTGGTTAGGATAGACCCCGCAGTGACTCTCTAGTGCATCCTCTTCATGGTCCTACACTGTTTCTACCTTATCTGGGCTCATCTGGGCCCATCCAGGGCTGCTGCTTCCCTCGCACTGCACTGCTGTGCCGAAAACCTAGCAGTGGCTTTCCATAGTATTAGAACAAAACTCCAGGTGGCCCACTCTCCCAGCCCTTCGCCATAGCCTGTCCTAGCCAACTCTTCTCATACCCCCCACTCTGTTCCAGCCTCTCTGGTCTCAGCTTTTTAACAATTCATGTTCTTTCTTTGTTCTCTTTTTAAACAAGGTATTATAAAGTGTTTAAGGTATTTGACAATGGGTGGACTCCTCCCACTATATTCATGACCAGTTCCTTCTTTTAGTTTAGGTGTCTGACTCAGTATCAAATTCTCAAGACCCGTTCCTGCCGCCCACCTTGCTTAAAGTGGGTCACCCCTTTGATATGTTGTATCTCAGTCCCTTTTAGTTTCCTGTAGGACCCCAGTCCTATGAAGCATGGCATCTGGCATATAAAACACTTGTCGAGGAGTACAAGGGTATTTTCCTGGGGCTGTGTGCACCCTACTGTCATTCAATAGTGACCTTCTTTATCTGTGCCAAATGCATTGTGAAGCTCCGGAACCCCACTTTCTCCGCTCGTTAGCCGAGTGACCTTGACAGGATACGTAACCTTTCTGGATCATCTCCTTCACCTATGAAATGTCGGGAGTACAGTATGTCTCAGGAAAGATGGGAGGAAAGATGAAGAAACCTCCACTCGAGCCCTAGCAGAGGGCTCAGGACTCAGTGGTGAACTTCCTGACACCTCCTGCCTGGACCCCTGCAGGACTAGAAGCATTAGATGGTGAAAATGAACCCCCTGAGCCCGGTTAGGGAAAATGATGACACTTAAAGGACCCTGCTGGGAGGGTAGTTGTGAAACTGTTGTTGGGTTTGTCTTGGCTCTTTGTTGAACTCCCACTTTCTCTGCAGGGGCGCAGGAGAAACTCCCCTTAGAGCCCCTAAACTGGTTTCTGTGGGCGTTGGGCCTTCCTCATGGCATTTTTGAGTTGAGCGTGTGTCCAGTCTATAGGCTGCCAGAGAACAAGGGTGTGCGAGTAGTTACCAGCACGCGCCTGACGTAGAGTAGGTAAGCAGGGAATAAATGAAAAGACTTCATATCATTTCTTCCCAGTTCTTTAAAAATTTTCTGTCATCTTATTGAGACTTTTATGCCTCCCATCCCTCAGTACAACAGATTGCACATATAAGCATAGAATAAATAAATGTCCGTTGGGCTGAACAGATTTTAGAGGGGAGATGACCCTGAGGGGAGGGCAGCTCCGTATCAAGTTTCTAGTCAAGGGCGAAGAGGGGCTCAGGGAGTGGAGTTGGGGGCAGACAGGTCAGCCGCCTCTGCTGGTGAAGCTCCCAAGGGAGACGTGAGCTCCATGTCAGGGATATAGGAGTTGCGAAGATTTCAGCCTAAACAGTGAAGAGGAGGTCAGATGCTTTATTGTTAGACACAGAACAAAGCCATAAAAACAGAAGAAACACAGAACAAACCAGACAGCAACTTCCAAAGATCTGGAGAGGACTTCAGAAGGATGAGGAGTGCCCTGAGACTTGCCCATCTAGATCTTGCCTGTGAATTGTGGTCCTTGTCACGAAGCGAGTGAGTCTTGGCTAAGCCTTTTCTGTAGCTTATTCCTCTCAGGCCTCCCAACCACGCAGTGCCCTCCCAGTGTGTTTATGGCCCTCGTTTTCCTGTGTGGAAGCTGCTGAGCATCACTGCTTTCTTCATAGCCTGGTTGTTGTCTAAAGGACTGGGCTGGTTTCTGTGTATAACCCACAGCTAGAATGTTTGCTTCCTGAGGCCAGGGGCCCTGTGTAATCACCTTCAAGCCCCACTGCCCCTAATGACTACCAGGAAGTGATTGTTGAGACACTGACTTTAGAGTCCTGACCCTTGGCTCTACTGCCTCTAGACCAGGAGTAACAGTGACCTGAGGGGACACAAGTCTTCAGTCATCTAGCTACTCAGGATCTGGGGCTTTCT